CAGGAACATGCACACATCTGAAGCGTGCAGCTCGAAATATTTTCACACTTGTACACACTGGGGGAAAGCGACACCCAGAGGAGGGCACGGAAGGTGTTCACTGTCCCCCACGCCCCTGGGTCTGCCCCCCGCCCCCGAGTCAGGCACGTCCTGCCACGGGCCAGTCCTCTTTGGCCTCTTGGTGTGTATTCCCGTGCTCCTTTGACCTCTCCTGCTTGCATTTTGTCCGGGCACGCGTGCTCGAGAGCGTGTGTGTGTGTGTGTGTGTGTGAGCAAGAGCGGGGTGAGGATGGGGAGGAAGGCGAGGCCTCTCGAGTGTGGATGGAGAAGGGGGGCGGGGCTGGGTGAGGACGTCATCGTACCGTCCAGGGCACAGAGGGAACCTTGCTTTTCTCTTCACCTCGCCTCGCCCTCGCTTCCCCAGCCGCCCCGTGGGCTCCTTATAGACACGGACGGATGTTCTGGCCGAGAAAGCCTTGCGCACCCCCAAGAGTGGCAAAGGGGGCCGGGAGACACGGTGGCGGCGGCTAGGGCTGCTGCTCCACTGTGGCCCACAGGAAGTCGGCTCAAATGAGGGTGGTTGTTTTTTTTTTTCTTTCCTGTCAGCCAACCTCCTGTTTTTTCCAGCCTGGCGAGAACAAACGGGCACCCTAGCAGAGCACGGCAGAGCCCACAGGGGCCAGGGCTGCCGTGCGGGGTGCCCACGGGGGCTCCCCTCCAGGCCGACAACTGGGTGCCCCGTTCCGACAGCCCCGCAGGGTCCTGCTCAAGCACCGGGCTGGGCAGCGGGGCTCCGGAAGACCTGTCACTGTCCCCGAGAGCCCGGCCACCCACTTGGCATAGGACATAGTCGGCGCATCTGAGCAGCCGTGAGCGGGGTGTCCTTACCCACCCTCGAGTCTGCATCGGCCTCGGCCTCTGCTCCTCGGGGAGGAGCCCAGCAGACACGCAGCCCAGGTGTTGCCAAGACACCGGGCAAAGCGGCTGCGCTGCCCTCTCACGAGGGACCCGCTGCGGAGACTCGGGCACCAGCCGCTGTTCCTCGTCCGGCCCTGTTCTAGGGGACAGCCGGAAGCAGAAGACAGGGGAAGGGCTACAGCCAGCTCCCTGGTTGCAATCAGATCTCTTGCCGCTTTTTCATAAGATTCTATGGAAAACGTGGAGAAACGGAGGCCGGACAGAGCAGGCGGGGAGCACACCTCGCTGGCTGCTCTGCCTGCAAAGGGTGTTGATCATTTAAAAAAACTTGTTTGACTTGTGGCTTTGAGAGAGAGAGAGGAAGTGTAGGGGCAGGGAGAGAGACAATGAGAGAATGAGAAACACTGATTCGTTGTTCTACTTACCGATGCATTCATTGGTTGATTCTTGTACGTGCCCTGACTGGGAATCGAACTCACAACCTTGGCGTAGTGGGGCGCTGTTCTGAGCAACTCAGCTACTCGGCCAGGGTGGATATGGGTCAGTGTTCAGCTCGATGGAAGTCTCTTGTGGCATCCGACTGTTTGGGGCCCTGTATCACCCAATTCCTCCCTCCCCCAAACTTACAAAGTTCCCATGGCTTTTCTGTATTTACCAGTTGTTAAAACTTTGCCACAGGTGCACTCACACTCCCTCTAACACACACACACACACACACACACACACACACACACATGCACACAGGTTTTTGCTGAATCATGTGAAAGCAAGTTTGCAGACATCCTGACACACTTCACCTTGAAAACCCTCAGCAGGCGTCTTGGAAGGACGGGGCATTCTCCTGCCACCACAGTGCCACCCCCATAGCTAAGACACGCACGCACGCACGCACCGGCCTCTGATACGCGGGGCGGGCAGACACTCCCCCAGCGGGCCTGCACCCCTGCTGCCGCCGGAGGCGTGCGAGGGTCGCACGCTGCCTTTGACTGTCAGCTCGTTTCAGCTCCCTGATTGCAAACAGGCCCCGGCTCTCCTGCCTTTCCTCCGAGGGCGCTTTTCGAAGCGTGCCGGCCAGCGGTCTGCGGAACGCCGGGTGCGCCTGGCTGTGTGTTGCGTCACATCAGGGCGGAAACGACGTCCGCAAGTCCCGTCGCTAGCGACGCTCCCTTCCACTGCTGGCGGCACAGCCAGAGCCGGCTCAGAGACGCGGTTTCCCTTTGGTGACTAACCGAGTCACCCGTGGGGCTGACGTGGAGACCTCGTTAACACGCAGCCTCCTAACCACCTTTCCTCCCGGGGTCCCGGCACCCAGCGACGATTCGGGCTGGAATGGAGATCTTCCGGGTCTATCGTTTCTTCCGCGTTTACGTGCCAGCCCTTCTGTGCACCGGGCAGGACGCCTCCTTCCCGTCCCTTCTCGTCCTGTGGGTCTCCGAGCGTCACTGCGGATGGATGGGTTGCTTTTAATTTCATGCATTATTTCATCCATTATTTCATGATGCTTTTGGGGGGAAGATTTTATTTATTTCTGTTTAGAGAGAGGGGAAGGGAGGGAGAGAAACCTCAATGTGTGGTTGCCTCTCTCACGCCCCCTACTGGGGACCTGGCCTACAATCCAGGCATGTGCCCTGACTGGGAATCGAACCGGCAACCCTATGGTTGGCAGACCAATGCTCAATCCTCTGAGCCACACCAGCCAGGGCTGATTATGCTTTGTGAAACTCAATTTGTCCCAGGTTTAGTCATCGAGCTGGCCGTTTGTTGTTTGGCCAGGATCCTGTTAGTCTTTGATCCCATCCTTGTGTTCCGGCCCAACGACGTGTTCCAGGCTCACCTTTCACTTTCTTTTTCATTTTCCCAGAGTCCTGGTACCTTTCACGGCCCGGCGGTAGTTAGAGCTGGGTGCTAGGTATGCTCGCCCGGTATCTTCATCAATGATTTGACTGAAGGCATTAGGAATGCTTATCAAATTTACAGATGACTCGAAACTGGGAGGGGACCCACACTGCTTTATAAAGCCAACATGCAGAGTAGCCTTCCCAGGACCGAATCAGAACCTGAACCAACAGATTTCAAGGAGGCCAATAGGGAGCACCATGCTTTGGGTGAAAAATGAGAATGGTGTCATTTCAGGCTTGACGGGAACTCCTTTTGTTTTAAAGATTTTATTTATTTCTTTTTAGAGAGAGGGGAAGGGAGGGAGAAAGAGAGGGAGAGAAACATGGATGCGAGAGAGAAACATCCATCGGCGGCCTATTGTACTCCCCCCCCATCGGGACTGGATCCACAACCCAGGCATGTTCCCCGACTGGGATTCGAACCTGTGATCTTTCACTTTGCGGAATGACGCCCACCCCACTGAGCCACACCAGTCAGGGCAGTGGGGGGAACTCAGTATTGGACCAAAGGTGATATCAAAAGGTAACTCAGGTTGTGGGTGGACATGCGAGGGCATCGCACAATCCCCAAGCTGCGTCCATCTATCTACCCTCAATATTTCTTGAGGGCACCGGGCACTGCTCTAGAGGCCGGGGCTAACTAACTGTCAAGCAGACAGGCAGAGTCCTCTGCCCTCCTCCATGTTGGTGGGAAGTTCAGACAAGAAAGCAAAAACCACCACAAGTAAGCCAATCGAATATTCTGTTAGAGAGTGATGAGTACTTTGGGGGGAAAAATTCTCAGGGTGAGGGGAGTATTGGGGGAGGTACGGGTTCTTCAGGAAGGTCACGTCTCTGAGCAAAGAATTGGAGGGAGCAAAGGACTCTGGGAGGAAGGCTCCAGGCCCTGGGAGTCCTAGCCGGGGCAAAGGTCCCAGCGAAGTGCTTTTGAGTCATCCTGCGGGAGAGGGAGAGCGGGAAGGTCAGTGGCCGCCTGATGAGGATGACATTTGTGCCTTGTGACCTCCTGTTGAGGTCTTCGGCTTTTCGGCTAAGGGAGCCTGGGGAGCCGAGTGCTGTGACCCACCCGGCTGGCTCTGAGTCCCACGGGCTGCCGAGTTGAGCACCAGTCTCAGAGCGGCAGAGCCGGAAGCAGGGAGACCTCGCCATAACCACGAGGAAGAGGACCACGTTGAGGGTCGTCAGCTTATGGATTTGCCAGGGGGGCTGGCTGTGAGAAAGCAAGGGGGAAGGTTTTTCACCCGAGCGACAACTTCAAGCGGACTTGCGGCTGAGCGGGCTGGGAAGAGGCTTACAGAGGTGGGAGAGGCCAGGACCTGGGTCTGGGACGCGCGGGACGGCTGGCAGAGCAGACGGCCGGTGGAAGCGCTGAGGCCCTTTGGAGCTCAGGGCAGAGGTCCTGGCTGCTGATAGAAGCGTGGGCATTCCTTGGCTGAAGATGGATGGACGGCGCTGATAAAAGTGGTACCCAAGGCCCGGGCAAGGTTAGAACAGGGGGGGGGGTGCTTTGGGGCCACCCCATCCCATGTGCAATGCTGTGCCCAGTGCTGGGAGCCCGTTTTTGTCCCTTTAAAATGGGTGCTGCCAGCCTCGCCCTTGCCCACGGACGCATGTCAGACTGGTGCGGGGACACAGGAGTGATGGAACCTGGGGCAGCTCGGCTGCCAGAGAGGGAACCTGGGATCACGCCAGCGTTTTCAGGATGTGGTGGGCCTGGGCCGGGGCGGGGGGCGCGGGGCAAAAGCCCAAGGTGTTGGCGGAGAGGAAGCTGATTTTGGCTGGGGGCAGGCGGACTTTCCCAGGGCCGCCGCTCATTCCTGGAGACACCGTCCCCCTTGCCATGGAAATGACGAGCGAGGTTCTGAAACTCCTTCAGCCTCCAGCCGCAGGGAGAGTTGCATTTCACTGTGGTGCTCTGCCCTCCTGGGAAAAGTTGGGACGTGTTTCCCACAGCTTCCTTTCCGCCGTGTCTGTTTCTTGCTTAAATGCCAAAAAAAAGGGAGCGTGGATTTCAGGACCTACTGAAGGGGTGCAGGTTGCAGTTGGAAACCTCTGCTGTCAGCAGGACGGAGCTCCATCTTTGGGCACGCTAGGGGCCCGGGGTGGGGGTGGGGGGCGACTGGGGGTAGGGTGGGCCGTGCCTCTGAGTGGGTGCCTCTGGGCTCCGTCCAGCTGGAGGGAGAACGGTGCTGTCTCGAGCCTGGCCACGCGCAGGCTGTACCTCCTCTCCTGTACACGAAATCCTATTATTCCACGTAAGCTAATCCTGCCGCGCTCCCCCCCGCCCGAGGCTTGGCTTGGCGTGCACAGAATTCTAAGCGTAGACACCCCGCAGGGTACCGGACTCCGTGGTGGGCCTGCAGGGAGCGCAGCCAGGACCCAAGGTGGGCTGACCCGTGCAGAAATGAGACTCCGCAGCCACTAGCCCGGCGTCCGCTGGAGCTCGGCAAAGTTCCTGCGGTCACGGACAAGTGGGTGCCAGGAGCATTAGCTGGGGAGGCGGGGACAAAGGGACAAGACCCAGGCCAGACCCTCACCAGGCGCACAGTGGAGAGACCCACACGTTTCCCCAAACCTCCGGCGGCAGTTTGCGGAGGGTCGCAGAGCACCGGAAGGGGGCCGGGGCGGCGGTGGGAGGGTCTGGAGGTGGGGCCAGGGACCTAGGGCTCAGCTTTCCTCCGCCGCGCTCTCTCGCGGCGCCTGAAAGACCCCCAAGTTGGTCTCTCGGGGCTCGCACCCCGCTGGCGAGCAGGAAGGAGGAAGGGGGAAAGGTAGGGCAGGGCAGGGAGAAGGAGCATGGGAGAGGCTCGACACTCGCCCACTTCCTCCTCCGGCGCCGCCCTCTGAGCCGCGCGCCCCGAGAGCCTCCTCGGAGCTGGGTCGGCGGGACCGCGCTGCGCTGCGCTGCGCTGCGGGGGGCCGAGGGGGACGCGTTCGCGGCGGCCACGTGATCCGTCCCCCAACCCCCAGGTCCGCGAGTGCAGGGGAACCACCTGAGCCAGAGCCTGCAGGACGCCGTCGCTGTCCGAGCCCCGCGCGCCGCGATGGCCCCGGGGACCCAGTCGCTGCTGCGGCCGCTGCTGCTGTTGCTGCTGCTGCCGCTTCTGCTGCCGCCGCCGAGCGCCGAGGCGCACGTCCCCCGGATCAGCCTGCCGCTGGGTGAGTGCGGGACGACCCCGCTGGGACGCGGGCCGGGGAGGGCGGGCCGAGTGCCTGGTTCGGACGTTGCCGTGACAAAGGAGGCAGGGGGCCCCTCGGAATTGCGGGGGGGGCTGCCTGGGACCCCTCGTCCTTTCAAAGGGCAGCGCGGCGCGAGAGAGGGGGAGCGGAGCTGCGGGGCCGCGGGCCCCTTTCTTCCATTCTTCCAACGCGAGGGGAGGGGGCCCTCGCCTGCTCTGTCGCCCCTTGTGGGGCGCCCTTTTCGGTGGTGGCCGGTGGTGGCTCCCCCCCACCTCCCCTCCCCCTCCGCCTGCGCATCTGCTTGTCTTTGATGCTGACCAGAGCCAGGCGCGGTGCCGCCCCCCAGGGCAGCGCGGGTGGAGGGGCCGTGCTCGCCGCCCGTAAACACTGGGGTTGGGTGTTCCGGCGAGTCGCTCGGGAGCCGCCGCAGGACGGCGCCCCATCCTTCACCCCGGTGGACCCGGCGGGATCTTCTGGGGGCCTGGGAGCGAGCAAACGAGGGCTGGGGGCAGTCCGCGCACAGAGAGTCCCGGGCTCTGGAAGCCAGGGTGATCCTCGAGCGACCCAGGAAGGGCTATCCTCATGGGCCAGGTCCCTCTCCTGAGCCCACATCTGCTTCTGCTGCCACAGACCTCTGCTCTCCCCTCTCCTCCCCCCCTTCCCCCTCCGGTTGCTTCTCCAGTTCCTCTCTGCAATCCGAGGGACCTGGATTCTAAGCCCATTTCTACTGCTGGGCAAACAAGGCCCTTCTCCCTGAGCCACAGTTTGTGCGTCTGCAGAATGGGCCCTTGCAGGTGGGTGTTGGAGAGTCCGTGCACCTGGGTGTGTTAACGTGGACGTAGTGTCATGTGTGCCCAGGGACTTAGGAGTTAGAGGTGACAGCCTGAAACCGTACCAGACTTCCTTCTCTTAGCATCCCCACCCCGAGAAGCGCTCTAGTTTACCAAGGGACGGAGTCGCAGAATCAGCACTTGGGTGAACCACCTGGCCCGGAGTAACCCTTTCTGACACATGGCCCGGGAGTGCTGAGGAGGTGGCCTGGCTCCGGTCCCGCCTCAGCCACTGAGTACCCACGTGACCTGGAGCCAGCCCCCTGTCCTCTCCTCTCGGGGCCTCGGTTTCCTTGTCTGTAAGACGGGGGCGCTGTGAGCCCCTCCTGCCTGGAGGTCGTGAGGAGGTCAGTCCAGTGTATGTTCGAAAAGACGGGGCTCGGTACAGAGACACCACTCGGGGAGCGGAGCTGCCAGCCTCCGTGAGCGCGGGCTCCGGCGCGTGCGGAGAGGGTGAGCAGGTGGATCCAGACCCGGGCCCGCCGCCTCGCCGTTTTCCTGCTGTGGCCACCCCTGTCCCCGGTGCCCCGACACCCTCTCCGCTTTGAGAGCGGGACATGAGGGGGGGCAGATGCTCTAGGGTCTCCACAGATGGCTGCCCCCCCGCAGACCCCGGGGGAAGCTGGGCTCCTGCCAGGGGCACGTCACATGTGGGCACAGGATGGGGACCGCTCCCGGGGGGGGACTCGAGGAGGGAGCCTCAAGGAGAAAGCCAGAGGATCTGCTTTCCGAGAGCACCCAGAATACTACTCTGTGGTTATCACCCACGCGGCCCGAGACCCAGCCCACTTCCTCAAGTCTGAGCCCACACACCTGCCCGCCACTGCCCGCCCCCCGTCCCCCGCCCGCAAGTGTCCCTGGGTGCTGTAGGCTGCGGTTCCGCGTCATTCCAAAATTCACACGTTCCGGTCCTCACCCCCAGAGGCCGGACACGCTTGGGTTCCCCCGTGAGGACCCCCGAGATGACACAGGGTTGGGGCGCCCCTCGGGGGCGGGAATGCAGCCCACACTCTGTTCTCCAAGCTGTGGATCCTGGAGGAAAAAAAAAAAAGACCCTCCGCTGTTTCTTTTCTTGAGGCTGGGTCTGCCCAGAGGGGTGTTGTTTTCTAGTCCCACCAACGCCCTGGCCCAGTTTGGCAGCCCCTGGCGCCTGAACTGGCGAGCTGAGCACAAGGCCACGCTTCCCTGGGCTGCCCCGCCGCCCCGGGCTTCCTCCCCGGCCTGGAGAGCCCCTGCCCTTTGGCCTCTGTGCGGGCTCCCCCAGCGGGCTGGGCGCCCCCGAGGGGGATGTCCCGGTGACTGAACAGGCTCACCTTCCCAGCGCAGCCCGAGGCCGCTTCCTGCCTCGTCCCTGGGGGCTCGTTAGCTGTTCCTGGCAGCCCGCCCTTCCGGGCAGACCCACGGGCACCATGGGCCCCTGGCCCCCGGGCCCCTCCCTCACAGGAACTAGCGCCCACGCCCCCTTCCCCGCCACCTGCCCTCCCCTAGGGAATTCTCGCCCGAGCCCCCCAAGGGTCTGGAAGCCTGGGCACAGGGGCCTGTGTCTGTGGTTGGAAGCCAACCCCCGGAAGTGGAGCATCCTTCCCGTGGGACCCTCGTTACTGCGCATCAGAGTCCTGGGGCCACCTGGAGGGGGTGCCCCCCCTTGGGGCCAGGCCGGGGCATGGGACTGGGGGGGCTGTCGGGTCAGCAGAGCAAGCGGAGGCCTTGAGGGGCAGTCACTTGGGTCTGACAGAGGTGCTTCAGAGCTGTGTGCGGGATTGGGGTTCTGTTGTGGGGCCATCGTTGACCAGGGGACCGCCCCCCCCGGGGTGGAAGGTGCGTGGAGGCCGAGGGGTGAGCTGGGAGGTCAGCTGGGAGGCCCGGAGCCCCCCAGCCTGGCCATGAGGGAAGAAACAAAAACCTGCCCCTCCCACTCGTGAACTTGTTCCTGGGTCCCCTTATTTGGGCAATTAAAGGGAGCTGTTAATTTCCCTCCGCCGGGAAGTGCCTGCCTGGGAAGCTCTGGACGGACACAGTGTTTCCAAGCCAGGTTGGAAATAAACCCGCCGGCCTGGGCCCTGCAGCCCACAAAACCCCACTGAGCTGAGAGCACGCGGTCCAGGCATGGGTCAGCCGTGTGACCTCTGACCCTGGAGGCGCCCAGGGTCATGGCGGCTCTGAGAAAGCCCCTGGTGGAGCCCCCAGTACAAGCAGCTTTTTTTTTTTCTGTTAAATTTCATCTGAGGATGTTTATTGAAGAGAGAGAGGAAGTGAGAGACAGAGAGAGAAACACCAGTCCGTTGCCTCTCCCACACACCCAGCCAGGGATCAGACCTGGGCACGCGCCCTGACTGGGACTTGAACCTGCAACCTCCTGGTGTACCGGACGGCGCTCCAACAAGCTGAGCCCCCTGTGCAGGGCCAGTCCCCTTTCGGAGTCTTTTCCTGGCTGGCCCCTGCTCTGCTCTCCCTCCAGCGTTGGTCTTCAAGGCTGCCCCTCGAGCTGGCCTCGGCCTGGCCCAAGGCCGCACGGACAGAGCTGTGTGGGTGCTGGGGGCCCCGTGTGGAGGACGAGCCCGCCCTCCCCCCTCACTGCACAGCCCGGGCGAGCTCCCGCCTGCGCCAGGCCCGTTCTCACGCTGGCCAGGTGGCAATGGGGCCGGGGACCACCTCGCTGGGGGCAGCTGCATCCCCGGTGGAGGTAGCGGCTCCTCTCCCCCCCGGTGGAAGTGCCCTGCCTGCCCGGCCTGGCGGGGCTGCCTGCGTTCCTGCGGTAGACGCTGTCCGGGCTCTGGCTGTATGCGGCCCTCTGTGTGGTGCCGGGACTGCCAGGCCAGGGAAGGAGACGGTGCCGACCCATCTCCTGGGGGAGGGGGCAAAGGTGGTTGGAGGTGGGCCCACGGTCCTGTTTCATGTGGCTTTCTTTTCTTGTCTTCTCTTTCCTTTCCTTTCCTTTCTTTCAAAATATGTTTATTTTATAGAGGCAGAAAGTGGGGAGAGATAGAGAGAAAGAGACAGACAGACAGACAGACAGACATTGATTGGTTGCCTCCCATACGTGCCCCAACCAGGGATCAAACCTGCAACCTTAGCATGTGCCCTGACTGGGAATTGAACCCATGACCTTTTGGAGTATGGGACAACGCTCCGACCAGGTGAGCCACCCGGCCAGGGCTGCCGCACTTTTCCAGCGCTCCTGGTTCGGCTCGTGCAGAGCCCTCTGCTGCCTTGAGAACCTCCTCCTTCCCCCCGGGGCTGGACCCCTCCCCTCCCCTCCCTGCACCTCGCTGGCTGCGCTCTGCCCTCTGTGTAACCCTCGTTCGGCCGGGTGTTGAGATGCAGGTGTGTCCGTCCAGTAGCAAAGCTCTGAGCTTGCACAACTTTGGGGCACACCTGGATGCACCTGCCGGGCCATCCTGCAGACGAGAGAGGCAGAGCGGGGCATGGGGCCGGGAGAAAAGGCTGGATTTGGGTCAGGTTGTCAGTCACTCTCTTCTTCTTTTTAAAGTTTTATTTATTTTTAGAGAGAGGGGAAGGGAAGGAGAAAGAGAGGGAGAGAAACACGTGCGAGATCAATCTGTTGCCTCTTGCACACCCCCAACTGGAGACCCGGCCTGCAACCCAGGCATGTGCCCTGACTGGGAATCGAACCTGCGACCTTCCAGTTTGCAGACCAGTGCTCGGTCTACTGAGCCACACCAGCAAGGCACTACGTCCCCTTCTTAGGGCCCATGGGGCCCCTCACCCTGTGGGTGCTCAGGATGGGTGGAGAGGGCCCTCACCCTGTGGGTGCTCAGGATGGGTGGAGAGGGCTCTGAGGTGGCTCTCGCTGAGGGACATGGGGTGAGAGGAGCAAACAGAACCCGAGACCCCTGTCGTCGGAATCAGCCTGTCCTCAGCGGTTCCTCCGGCCGCCCCCCGCCAGCCCTCCCTACCTCTGTCCTTGCATTCTGACCTCCCCGTCCTGGCAGCGCGCCCCTGTGTCCGGGGCGGACCGTGGCTCGAACGGGGAGGGGGGGGGCGCTGTCCTGGGACACGAGGGCACCTCTTGCCTTTCCCGAGGCCGCAAGCCCGTCCTCTGCTCCTCGTCCGTGCCGTCTCCCTGGTCACTGTTTAGCCACCGCGCCCACATGACCATGTCCACTTTGAGGCAGGAGTCAGCCCTCC